GGTGGTGAGAAGCTTCACCAGAGACAGAGTGGGGAGCAGAACAGGCAGAACCGAGGAAGTACACTGCTGAGGGGAGCAATGGGCGGGTCAGGAGAGGTCTGCCACGCCATGTGGTCTCCTCTGGGGCAGGGATCGAACTCATGCTGAAGTGGCTTTAGCTTCTTAGTGCTGTGCTTTAACCCGCCTCGCCACCAGGGAGGACCCGACTCCTGCTTTTTTTTTTTTAACTGAATAGTAGGTTGAAACATTTGAAGCTTAGTGATTTTTTTTTTTAATTTCATTTTTGCCCTGCTAGTGAAGATACTTTAAAGCTTGAAAACTAGTCAGCCTTTTGGCAGTAACAGTGGGTTTCTGTTATGTTCAGGGGCAGAATTAATATATGAATGCTGAGGTTATAGATATGTGTGTGCACATGTATGTATGTATAAGCCTACATGCATCACACTTCAGTGACATGTGCCCAAGTGTTCTGAATAAATGGTAAGGTTTTCAGGTATTGGACTTTCTCTGATTATACTTCATAGTATCCTTCCCAAAATGTATATTCTCTTTTAGACAGATTGAAACCATGCAGTTATGATTAGAATTCAGGCAGGTAATGAACGGGACTTTAAAAACCAGAACCACTTTGAAGTAGTTTTTGAGTTTAAAAAAATGTTGCAAAAATGCTGGGGAAATTTCCCCTATTCCTTTCCCTCACTTAATGTTACATCTGCCATAACCACTCCCATTATCAAATTTGGGAGATTATCTCTGGTCCAGAGCTATGAACTGACTCACCAACTGTCCTTAGATAATTGCTGCCATTCGGCCACTGCCCTCATCCTGCCCCAGCCTCCCCAGATGCCTCCGCTGCGCTTGTCCTTACTCCTTAGACATTCCTACTCTGGAACAGCCAGTCAATGTTTTCCTCTTTTTTCTTCATTGGTTCTCTTAAATTTCTCCTATTGCTGGTGAGGTTAACATCATAATCTCTACTGTGAAGGCATTTTTTTCCCCTTTATAGTTCATAAATACATTGGGGAGGTAGGTACCTTGAAACATAAGCTAAGAACAGGATATTTAAAATTGTTCAATTCACTAAACCTCAGGTGAAGGGTTGTGGACATAGATTTTTTTAGATTTAAGTAATTGTAGGTTATGAGTCATGAAATACCACTTGAAGAAGAATATAGTATATAGCATCTTGATGTCTATTAGTAAGTGGCCATTTTACCAACTCTAAAGTAATTGAAGGTCTTGGAGTGCAGGTGCTGTATCTTGCTATCAGGTGCGACTAGATGCTGCCAAAGCATCCCCTCTTCAGCATTTATTAGACCTACAGCTGGGTTAACTTGTCTTCCCAGGGTAAAGCTGGAACACTCGTGTGTCTACAATACAGCAACTTCTTATCCCAAAAAATAGGATTCACTCAGTCCCAAGATTAAAAACCCTCTTGAACATGCTCCCTCCATGCAGTCTTTTTTCACACCCCGGGGCCACATCATTCCCTAGGGCATAGCTTTAAGGAGGAAGGAAATACCTGCACTACATCTCTGCTTGGGCTGGGAGCACTGTGCTGGTCCTAAGTGGCTGTGTGATGCACAGGTGGGCCCAGGAGTTGCCCCTGGAGATGATGCTGAAAGGCCCTGATTTAAGTTAGGTTCAGCTTTTATTTATTTGTTGCTTATAGCCATTTCAGGTTTTCAACTAAGTTACTAGAAGCACTTTTTTACCAAGTTGAATTTTCTGTATTTGGATAGCTAAACTCCTTCCTGAGCCAAATTAATAAAATGGAATTTCTTATTAAGGATAAATTATTAAGTAAAATGGAAGCACTAGACTAGGAAAGCAATTGATGCAATTTGTTTTCAAAGCCTTAAAAGTGCTGCAATGTGCATAGATCACAAGGACTGGCTTAAGTGCCAAAGCACGGGGCATTAATTTTCTTTTGTGGAGGATTCTAGGTTCACAGGATATCAAAAGTGCTGACTTGGCAGTGAAACCCCATTTGTAACATGTTAGATTAGGAAACAGATTGATTTATATGTTGATGTAATGGATCAAGGCATGGTGTGTGTTTAAGAAAATGGAGAGCACATTAAATAAGAGCATTTTCAAAGTAAAGAAGTACAAACATTACAGCAGAAATGATCCTGTTATACTAAAGGTAAGGTTGGGGTATGTTTGATTAGTTGATTCCTAGACATGGCCCACTGAGGCTTTTTATATTTCAGATGATACCTTCTTGAGAGTCTCTTATGACCACAAGGATTAATCTTTCTGAACTCAAAAGTGAATCACTACAGCATATTAGCTGTCTGGAATGATTCCAGTTACTCTCCTTTCTCTTGGTGGTAACTGATGTGAGGAGCTGTTGCTGCCGAGCTGCCTCTTCCTGTTGCTTTAACCTCTGGTATTTCAGATTCTCTTTAGGGAAGGTAACGCTGACCATCTCAGCACAAAGATCAAATGCACTTACCACTGATGTATTGCCCTCCGTGGTTGACCCATAAACTGAACATTTATCCAGTTGGAACTCTGTGGTCTTTTAGCCAACAGCCATAATGAGTAACATGTGCAAGGTAATCTTTGGCGCTGATAAATGGCCTCCTGCACGATTCTGACCACTCCATGGCTGTGAGTCTGGGAGCTTGCCTCCGTAATTGACAGTCTTTCTTACCTGTATTCACTTTTGGAATTTAACAGGTAAATGGTTTTTTTCCTACCCCCTCCCCATGTGAGAAATTAGATAGCATACCTAAAATCCTGTTCGTTTATTAGTTGCCTTTCCGTTAAAATATACATGGTCAAAGAGAGAATTGAGAAAATAGAGCTCGACAATTTTCAGCTGTTAGTGGTGGTGGTTCTTCTATAGTAGGCTATAGGTTCCATATGACCTGTCGATTTGGCTCTCTCACATATTTATTATGTCTTCCTGGATTTTCTTCATTTCTGTCTGGACTTTGGAAGTAGGAAGAATATTGTGCAGGGAGTGAACACTGGTGTCAGCTCACAGAAGTGTCCCTGAGGTTCCTTTGCCTGGACTTATATAAATTCCCGTTTTCCTTTCTAGCCATGTTCTTTCCGTACAGCTCTCCAAAGAATGGCTCAGGGGAGTGGCATTTTGTTTTTACATCTTGAACTCAGTGAGAATTAAACACATTTGTCTTGTGCATCCTTATACCTTTTAATGACTTGTTTGAATCAGTAGCATCTGAGTAGCTGTAATAGGTGTGTGTTCCCTGCAAGAGATACCCTTAAATGCTTTTTCTTTATTTGGGGGAGACAGGAGCTTGTGCCAGTCGATAGCTTATCTGCAGTTAGCTGAAGGCATAGGATCTGCATTCCATGTTAATAATTATCACAGTAGGTCTATGATCAACACTTGTTAAGAAAGGTGCCAATTGTTCTCATTGGATTTAATTGTGCTCTTCAACCTTGATTGATTTTGGCAACATTTAAATCCCAAATTAGTTTCCCCCCAGCTATCTAGCAAGTGTTTGAGCTTTCTTCTCTTTCTCTAGTAAAAGGCAGAATAGTTCAGATAAGCTCCTAAGCAAAACATGTGTAGGATAGTAAATTTGTGCTGGAAAAAGGTAATGTATTTTAAATCAAATGCAATCTCATGGTTGAAGGGACTATTCATGTCTGTGTAGTCCATCAGTCCATCAGCACAAATAACTGAGAGTTGCTAGGAAGTATGTATTTTCCCGTTATTTTGGAACTCAGATCTGCTCCCCCTTTAGAAGATTTAATTATTTATTCATACAAGAGCTGGGGTATAGGCCAGAGGCATGGGGGGAGGGTGTGTGTGTGTGTGTGTGTGTGAGAGAGAGAGAGGGAGAGAGGATTTTTATACTACAGAACTGCCAAGTAACTTTCCCCATTGTATTTCTAGATGCAGAGATGGCTGTGTTTTCTAGGCACAAGGCATTGCAGGACTCTTCCTGTCATAATGCCTGCCTTGTTTTCCACCTGTGATTTGTGAGCTGCTAATGGTTACTGTCTTTTCTTAAAGAAGAGAACACTGGCCAAAGAATTTTATGGGATAGTTGATTCTTTTCACCTAACATAGGATGAAATACCTTCTAGAATGTTCCCAAGAATGACGCTCATTGAGTAATGCAGCCAGACTTGACACCTTCCTCTTCCTCATCTCTGTGGCTTATTCATCTCCAGGTTTTGCCTGTTGTGCTCTGTGATCTCTTGACTCTTGTCTCTCAGTCACGCTGCCTTGGCCCAAGCTGCCATTGTTTCACTCTTGGCCTCTGCAGCCTCAGTTTTCCAAGTCCTCCCCCTTCATACCCTCTTGTTTCCTTTCAGGCTGTTTCTCACCCTACAGAGGAAGCATCAGTGCTGCGTTTTGAAAACATTAACCCAGAGACAAGGACCAAAATCTTTTTTGGTCTACAAGCTGTCTAGTTCTAGGAACCTCTCCACCCTTCTTGAACCACACCTACCTCCCAGACTACTTCTGATGTCAGAGCTCTGTGCAAGTGTCACTCTCTTTAGGGGAGCCACTCCCTGTCCACTCGTCAGTTGGAGGCCCCTTTCATACAGTATTCGGCACTGTGATTTCCCTCCTTCACACAAATGGGAGGGGAGTGTGCTTTCTGTGCACTAGACTGGAAGCCCCATGAGAACGGGTTGGGTGCTTGCTCTTGTGTCTAAGTGTGTGCACATTGCTTTCAACATAGTACTTGCTCAGTGAAATTTTTCTATGTGAGTGAATCCAGTAAAATTACTAGAACTTGTAGTTGTTCTGTACTTTTGTCGTTTATAGTCAGAGTATCCAGTTGGGAGTCCAGGTTTAGATTTTTTCCATCAACCTTTCACTTTGATCTCGTACTTTTTTTTTTTTTTTTAATTTAATAGCTCCTGGGAAAAGGATTTGTTCATGAAGCTATGGTTAAAAAGACTCTTAAGCAATTATCTCTGTCACAAAAGAGTTAATGAATGTGCCTTTGTCTTGGCCTTTTTGGAGTAAACCTGCTCTTTTTCCCCCCACTTTGGTGTAGGCTCTTGCAGCCAATGCTGGAACAGGATTTGCTGTTGCCGAACCTCAAATTGCAATGCTGTGTGGGAAGTTAAATATGCATGTGAACATTCAGACTGGGAAATGGGAACCTGACCCAACAGGCACTAAAAGCTGCTTAGGAAAAAAAGAAGATGTTCTTCACTACTGCCAGGAGGTAAGATATGGCCAGAAAGTCAAACCACTTTTTTTCTGGGTCAAGTTTGAACCCTCTTACCTTAGAAATAGATACTCTCAGCCTTCTCTTTTGACCTGAGACCAAGTGGCTGGTGACTGGGCCTTCTTGTTTCTGTGTATCTGATGTGACCACAGCTCGGGCTCGACAGTTCTGTCAGGGAGTGTGCTGCACGGCTTGGCAAGTACCGAGGAAGTGCTGCTGCCTGGTTCTCTTGGCTTCCTGCTTATTATAGAGAGATGTGAAGCAAAACATGTCATATGTGTACTTATGTTTTCTGTCTGATTGTAGGAAGCCACCAGTGTTGTAAATAATCATCTCAGAACTGATTCAACTTAGCTCAAAACCTGGCTTTGAAAAGGACATGAGATGTTTGACTTTCTTACCGAAACTAGTATATGTGGCCAAGGTTGATGCATTCTGTACTTTTGTTTAAAAAATTTACATAGACTTGCCTCTGAAATGTTTTAATTCCAGACTCAGATGTTTACCACTGCCCCCCCCACACACACACAACCCCCAAGTGGGCTTGAAGCCTGATTTGTTTGGAGCTGCAAGCCAGCTGCTTTTCCATGTTCTTAAATACAGGTTCCTTTTTAAGAAGTGAACACATTTTTAGTGGTCTGAAATCCACCTGTCAAAAGACAGTCCCCATGTCTGTTTTCATGATGAGTTCATTTGACTCCAGGACTGCAGAGTAGAACTTGAGATTTCTACAGGGTAATGGTAAAGCTGAGTAAACACAGATCCTCCTCTTAATGTGTAAGTGGTTGTCATTTATTAGGGGCAGAGTCAATTTATTGGGTGTGTTCTTTCCCCTTGCAGATGTATCCAGAGCTACAGATCACAAATGTGATGGAAGCAAACCAGGCAGCTAATGTTGACAATTGGTGCCGGAGGGACAAAAAGGAGTGCAAGAGCCACATAGTGATACCTTTCAAATGTCTCGGTGAGTGTCCTTTAGGAGTTCCTAGTTAACTTGTGAGGGAACTGGGTCCTTCGTTTTCAAATTTAGTCTTCCCTTGGCTCAAGTGAAGTAGCTACATCTGTTAAGAATCTGAAAGCTGCAGAGATTCACCAGGGGACTTTCTGAATTGAATTAAGTCATTACTGTTTATGGTGTCAGTAGTTGACTTGTCTTGAGGGTCCCTCCCTTTCCTTGTCATTGTGAGCATCCTTGGTCTTCTAAGGAGGAGCTTTTGCCTGGCACTGAATAAGAACACTGCTGCCAGAGCAGACCACCAGAGTACTGGTTTGCAGTCAGGATAGGAAGTGGTATTAAGCCGCCATAACACAGTCTTCTACTCTCCCTGCCTCATCCCACATAGGGCAAGCTCCTGAATTCCTGTTGGTAGTCAGACACTGTAGTATTTTTCAGGAAAAGTGACTGACTCCTCACTGCCAAGGGGGCAGTTAGGGATGCTGGGGCCAGGTCACATGGCACCAGCTTGTCATGAAGGGTTCAGGTCTGCTAAGCAGGCTTCTGTTAACTGTGCGGCTGGTGTTTACAGTCAGATCTGCCTGGAGTAGAACGGTAACATTTTATTACCCAGAAACAGTTGTTGCTTATGGTACTTATTTTATTTGCTTAATGTATTCATCCTACCCATTCATCACTGATAATCTGAATTGTACTCATGCTTCTGGGTGATTCAGAAACAGATCTGATCACAGAGACTTTTAAGATGGTTGATTTTAGATGATCCATAGTAGGATTAGTATGGACATGGCATTAACATGGATAGGCATGGTAGTTCTAAAGATGATTTTAATTTTTGCTGTTAACTTATTCCCTTTCCTGACTTCAATTAAAATCTTTTTAAAATGGGTACCTGTAGCAAAATAACCAGTAGAGTTAGCAGCTGACAATGTTTAAAATACATAGCAATTACTTTGTTTTAAAGTATTCAGAAGGGGAAAGGAGGGATATTGCCTGTGCTTAATCACATTTACTTTAAAACTGCATCATGCAGTAGTGTGAACCTGTAAACAAGAACATTCTTGGATATTTGTAGACAACAGAGAAATAGTACTTGGCAATAGTTTCCTTTTGCACCTTTATCTCTGAAGACTGCAGCCTGGTCCTCCTCCTGTACTTCCTATGTCACTTGATGGTATACCCTCCTACATCTCTGAACTTGAGATCTTGGAACCCTTTGTCTCCCCAATAAGGTCAGTTTTTAAGCCAACCTAATTTTTCTCTCTTAAATATGGTTATTTGTAATTCTTAGACTGTACCTAGGGTATTGAAACAAACTCATAGGGACATTGCAGAATATTTTTTTATTTTCAAGGGAAACATCTGCCAGACATCCTGTGAATACTAGCTGGAGGTACTGTTTCAACAGCAGATCATTCCTTTCCGTTCAGTGACCTCATATCTTTGTGGAGCCCTGCTTTAATGTTTCCTGTGATAAAAAGCCAGCATCACACCAAAAGTGCTGTAGCAGAGGAAATGAGGGAGATATGTTCAGTGGATTGAAAGTTGAAGAAGTTACATAGTGCGATTAGGAGACAGTTCTCGTTAAGTCGTTGGACATAACTTCTGGAATCTCTTTTGGCGAGGGGTGCTATGAAAAATGAAGAGACATTCAGGGGTGCTGTGTTGTTTCCGTTGCACCTATCACAATGTACAGTGATGGTCTGTTTATGGATTATTTCTCCAACTACTTTGCTGACACCTTGAAAGCAGGCACCCGCTTCATTCTTTACCTCCTCAGCACCTGGGCTAGAATGGAGGGTACAGGCCTGATGTCAGTTCACATCAAGACTGCCACCATAGCTGGTATATGGCACTAGCTTCATTGTACTGCTTTTCCCTTCCCCCAGGTACTGTAGTTGTAATCTTTCAATGTATTATTGAACCTAACAGCAAAATAATATTGTCATCAATTAAAGGACTAAAGGTATCTTCTTTACATTTTGGTTACTGAATAAAACACTATTCAGTCTCCAGTGTTACGTAATTCAGACTGTTATTTTGTGTTTACACTAATAATCACTTCAACAGCCTCTTGCCTGTGAAGTAGAGCAATCCGTTGGTATTTTAAAATAAATACCGTTGCCTGAACCTAAACTAGTAAGGGACCCAGTGACTTGGAGTTAAGGGAGATGGCCAGAAAGAAAAACTGCCAGTTCTTCCTTGTTATACTTTATAATACTTTATAATGTGAGGTTTATAAATGCTTGCAAAAAATAGTTCAAAGGACTTCTATATAATCTTTCCTCAGATTTAAGATTTTCCAATATTAATATATTTGAATAATAGCATAACATTAATTCATCATATGTCTGTCACAGTCCCCTTCCCACCATTGAATATCCTAACCCCCACTACCTGCTTTTGAGAGTCATTTAAGTTGAAGATGAAGATCCTTTTATCCTTTAATACTTCAGAGAATATTTTCAAAAAATAAGGGCATTCTCCTATATAACTGTAGTATATTCATCAAAATCAGAAAATTACTACTAATCCACTATCTTATTTACAGATCTGTTTTTAATTTAGCCTGTTCCCATTACATCAGAATTTAATTCAAGATCTTAACTTACATTTGGTTCTTTCTGTAGCCTTTTTCCTATATTTTATGACCTTAATCTTTCTAAAAGTAGAATGACTAAGTTAATTTGTAGGGTGCCTTGCAATTTGAGTTTGTCTTAGAATCCTTTTGATTTCTGCATTTTTGAGGGGGCCATCAAAGGAGTGTTCTGGCTGCAAAGATTACAAGTTAAAAGATGTCAGTTTGTGTCATTACCAGTGTTAATTTTTCACTCCTGGCTAAGACGGTGTCTGCCTCCTCCTATTTCACTAAGGACTCATTGTCCAGAATGGTTCAGTGGGAGCCCCTTCATGCTGGTTGACAGCCCTTTCATTTTTTGAAAACTACTTTCTTGGTACAACAAAGATGTTATATCATATACATGATGATCCTACCACACACACACACACACACACACACACACACAGTTGATTATTTCCCAAGAAAGCTATTCTTTAGCTAAAATATTCATGTTTCATAGTTCAGGAACACATAGGTCAGTAACAAACTTCCAGGGAAGGGTTTTTTACATTCCAGAATCACTTTGCACTCTGAAAGATACCAACTAGCTTTTTCATCTCCTCAAAATCCTTCATGGAATCATAATTTCTGTAGAAATCTGCACATGCCTTCTTACTTATTTCAGCCACAATAAACTTACAGAAAGCTGCCATCCCAGGGATACAGTGAATGTTTCACAAGTATGAAATCACAGACATTAGCCCTGAGGCATGCATGCATTTGGGGTTTTGCTACAGTAGTTATGCTCCTCAATTTGAATGACCTTCCGTACTCATCCTATATTTTTCCTACAACACCTGTGAAGTCAGACATTTCTCCAAGAAGCCCAGATTTTAGGGGGGAATGTTATTTAGAAATCAAATCTAGGCATTAAGTTTTACTTCTATTACAATGTTATTCCTTCCCGGGCAGACAGATTTATATACACATAGAAACATGTTGTTGTATGTAAAAAACAGTAAACTCAATATTGACACTCTCTAATTCCATTATCCTTAATATCTTTGTGCAGTATTTCCTATAAATGATTAGTCTCTCTGATTCTTAAAAAAAAGGCCTATTTTATTAACCTAATTTGTATATTGTATAATTTACCCATTTTAAAATATACAGCTTAATGGTTTAGTGTATTAATGGAGTTTGGTGACTATGTACAATTCTTTGAACATACGAATTGTACTAAAAATGGAAGTTAGAAGTATAAGTCCTACATATTTTATTTACCAAAAATAACCACAATGAGTCCTTTTATATACATTACAATGAATACCTATTGGTTGAGTAATAGCAACTAGATTACCGCCAGAGTGTACTGGAGGGCCTGAGCTGTGAATGCCCCAGGAGCCTGAAGGGGAGTGGGTTTCTGGAGGCAAAAGGGGCAGGACTGGGTCTACTTTCTGCAAATGAGCTTTTCAGTCAGTGCATTTCTGATTGCTTGATAGCTGTGTTAAATGGTGATTGGTTGAGGCCCTCCCTGGTGGCGCAGCGAGTTAAGGCACAGCACTAAGAAGCTAAAGCCACTTCCACATGAGTTCGATTCCTGCCTGCCTCGGAGGTGACCACATGGCATGGCAGACCTCTCCTGACCCGCCCACTGCTCCCCTCAGCAGTGTACTTCGTAGATCTGACTGTTCTGCTCCTCACTCTGTCTCTCACCAACTCTGAGCCTCTAACCTGTACCCCAGTTCTGTATGCACAAATAAATAAATCTTAAAAAAAAAAAAAAGGTGATTGGTTGAATTTCAATCTTTGGTTTGCCACTGTGGCTTTGTTTCTTGGCTATAGAAGTGGCTCTGCCTGCCCCAACATGCGTAGACATTTGGCCATGACTGGGAATGTACCCTCAACAGCTTCCTGACTCTGGTTGTTAACCATACTCTAGGTGGCTCTGGTTTTGTTGTTGAGTTTATCAACACATGTTGCAGGAAAGACATGGTAGTAATTTGGTTAGCCTCCACCCTGATCTGCCTTTAAGCTATCACTGCCCACTAAGTATAAGCCCAAAGCATAGTCAGAGGGGTAAAGAGATAGGAACTGGGGAGAATAGGCTGGGGTTGCTACTCATTTGTTTGAACAGGGCCTTTGGCCACTACATATATTTTTTTGAAGATTTATTTTTATTTACTTATGCATACAAGAACTGGGATGTAGGCCAGAAGTGCAGGAAGTGAGAGGATTCACTAAAGACAGAGTGGGGAGCAGAACATCCAGAGCAACAAATACAATGGCTGAGAGGGGCGGCCGATGAGACAGGAGAGGTCTGCTGTGCCATGTGGGTTACCTCCCTGGCTGGGGATCGAACTCAGGCCACAGTGGCTGGCCATAGCTTGATACAACTGAGACTAGCTCCTGCACCATCAGGGAGGCCCTTTGGTCACTGTTTTTGCTAGTTGAAGGGGATGTTGTGTCTCAATGAACTTACTTGAGAGCAATTTGAGAATGAGTTTAGGTTGCTAGGGGTGTTTGCATCTAGCCTACTCTTGGATTGTATATGTTGTCTGTATTCACTCAGCTCTGCTTTGTCCTCGGACCAAGCTTAACTATCTGTATGACTCTTACTTGGTATTTCGCATATTTAACAAAAAATTACAGTTTGGTCTTTCACCCCTCAACCTTATATTTTAAATTAACATTAATTGTCCCCCTGTTATAAAACTGTAGGTAGGTAGGATGATCCTAGTATGACAGTTAGTGCTCTATGAGGCAGCAAAACTGTTGGTATTTTGAGGAAGGAATTAGTCATCTCTGACATTTATATATAGACTAGCTCCTGCACGAAAAGAAGAGAATGCTGTAAGCCAGTGGCTGTTTGGTTTTGGCTATTTTGGGATGGAGATTTGGACAGAGTGTTACTGTAGTATGAAACTAGCAGAGAAAGTTGTTGGTTCTCAGAAGCTCTACGGCATGGTCTTTGGGCACGGTCTTTGGCCACTACACCCAAGTGAGCTACTGTCTTGGAGAGCTCACTCATCCATACAGGTGACCATTTACATCTTGCCTTTTACCTTTCAATTCTTGATAGCCCATCATCAGCTCACCGTAGCCCCAGAGTGAACCCTTGGGCAGTGTCTTGTTTCTGCTCCTGATAATTCTTCTGAGTCTTTAACTTCTCAGAGCCCTGTTGACAAAACATCTGCTAGGAGTGGCTACTAGACTTCATAAAAATTTGCATTGGGTGGTCAGGGTGCATCTCTTGATTAACTTTTTACAGAATGCCTTCCCTCACCAGAAGAAACTAGACAAACCTGAGCCTGGCTTCCAAAATCCCATAAGTGCATAGTCTTCCTGGAGAGTATTTCTGTAGTAGGTCTCGCTATACATTTAAATGTAGGGGTTGGGGGGCTCCACCAAGTAGGTAAAAAGACTTTGTTGTTTGTCAGGAATTTTAGTTACTCTGAAAACAATCTAAACATATGATGGTGAACAATGCCTTGCTTAGGGAAAAGTTGGTATGAAAGAAAAATAGTCATAAAGAATGTATGGGAGGTGGAGAGAAATCATAAATTCAGAGACGTTCACCAGAGAGAGTGGGGAGCAGAACAAGCAGATCTATTGAAATACACTATAGGAGCTATAGGAGAGACAGGAGAGGTCTGCTGTGCCATGTGGGTCAGCTCCCTGGCTGGGGATCGCACTCAGGCCACAATGGTGATAACATGATAGTACTGAGATTTAATCAGTTCATCATGAGAGAGGTCCCAGTTTTGATTTTCAACTTGATTTTAATCCTGAAATATTTCAAGTATACTGTAAAGATTAAAAAAAAAAAGTATTATGATGTTCACTGATGTGTTCACCAGTCCTGATTTAAGTTCAATATTTTGGGATACCTGTTCAATTCATATTCCTGAGTGCTCCCTTAGACCTACTGAAACAGGATCTCTGAGTGATAGTCCAATTTTCTAGAAGTTACAGACTTACCCAAGAACAGAGAATAATGTCATTGACCTTCATGTATATGTTGCCCAGCTGTTTGATAATCAAGCAAATTCATGAGTCACTGGTACCCTAACCTACAACCCTTAATTATTTGGAAACACATCACAAATACACCATTTTTTTTTCTGTGAATACTTTAGCATATATTTCTAAAAGACTCTACCTTTTAGAATGGCTGTGTGTGCTTTTCCTCCAGTTTTTTAGTTTTGAAAAGCTTGACCTTATTTATCTCATTGTGTTTTGTGTGTCTTGTTAACCAACTAGAAAGTTGATACATCATGATCATTTAGTTCTAAATATTACAGCTTGTTTCTCCTAAGAGCAGTAACCCATTGTGTAACTGGTAATGATACTTTGGACAGTTTTCCCAATATCCAAATAATGGCATGCATGACTTGCTTTTTAAAAAGGATTGCATGTCTGATCTGTAAAATATTTCACAACAATGTCTTTTTTTTCTTAGCCCATGTCATTAATATTCCAGAATTTTAATTTGTCTTATTGTTTTATCATGATGATAGTCACATGGCATAATTTGGCAGAACAGACTAATTAGATGTTCCTAGAACATCACGTATGTTGGATTGCCCTTACTAGTGATGTAAGGTGGCCGCCGGATTAAAATATTCAGTGTCTGCCAGAGTTGCCACTGGAAGGCCCCTGTTCTCCTTTGCAGGTAACCACAAGCTGACAATTCTTGCCTCCATCAGTTATTACGTTGGTGATTTCTCCTGCATCCTGAGGGTCATTAGGTATACAAAGGGCTAAAGTAAGATTCAGTGTTTAGTAAAACACCCAGTCATAGTTTTCTAGGCATTTTGCTATTTAAACAGATGAGAGCAGAAACAGGGAGGTGAGATGCTGGGGATGTCATTTTAAATTGGAGGGGAAAGGAAGCAGCTCTGTATGTGTTGGAGATGGCAGAGAGGCTTCCTGTACCTCTGCTCCAGGTCATGTCACTGTGGCCTGGTAGCCCTAATGGGACAGTGGCTCTTGTGGTGGCTGCTCACCTTGAGCAGTCATGTTCCGTGACCTTTGAAGAAGAAGGATGGACCTAAGCTTGTACACTTTAGAGACTGTCCTGTCTACACCTGACTTTATCAGTATCATAATAATCTACACCGAGGGGCATTCTCACCTGAGCCATGATCAGACTTCTAACCAGCTTTTCTTTTCCAGTGGGTGAATTTGTAAGCGATGTTCTTCTGGTTCCAGAAAAGTGCCAGTTTTTCCACAAAGAGCGGATGGATGTGTGTGAGAATCACCAACATTGGCACATGGTAGTTAAAGAGGTAAGAGAATGGGTAGGAAAAATCTAGTGTTGTCTTTTCTTTATGTTCCTCTGTCTTTTCAAAGTTTGCAATTACTTGCATCTTCTAAATTAAGAATGTCTGGGAGAAGAATAAATATTTGTGTGAGACATGCAGTGTTGACAGTCCATTCCCTAAAGTTCAGGACATTAGACTGTTACTGAAGGCGGAGTCGGTGGGGCTCCCAAGAAGGCCATCGTAACCCCCAAGGCTGTGTGGACACAGCCAATGACAGAAAAAGCTGTGTCGGGACAGATAAACTGACAGAATTAGATGCCATTTTATTCTTCTACTGGAAACACTCTTTCTCAACCTTGTTGCCTGTAGGTAATTATGTTGGCTCTTCAGTCATTTGTCTTTCTTTGGTCAACCTAAAGCATTGCCCTCACCATTGATGAATGTAAATTACCCCAGAACACCTTTAATCCATCTTGATAGTTAATAAAAGACACTCCCTTTTCCCTAATTTTTTCTAGTTTGGCCTTTTGTGGACTTTTAGTGAGTCCGGGACCTGGGACGCAGTGATGAAGGAGCTCAGACACAGGGGACTGCTACGTCCAGCATGCATTGAAACTTTTTTTTGAGCATCCCACGTTATACCCTTTGTTCCCAAGCTTCAGCAGAAGCATATCTTTTTTTTAAAGACTTCTTTATTATTTTTTTATTTTTTTTTAAGATTTATTTATTCATACAGAACTGGGGTATAGGCCAGAGATGCGGAGGGTGAGAAGATTCACCAGGGACAGAGTGGGGAACAGAACAGGCAGATAGAGGAAGTACACTGCTGAGGGGAGCAGCGGGCGGGTCAGGAGAGGTCTGCCTCACCATGTGGATTCCATCCGGGGCAGGTGGGGATCGAACTCATGCGGAAGTGGCTTAAGCTTCCTAGTGCAGTGCTTTAACCCGCTGCGCCACCATGGAGGGCCAGAAGCATATCTTTTTAATAAAGCTCTGTATACATTTTATTTTTTTCCTAGTACTTCCTCCTCAAAACAGTACTGGTAATACCCATATCACACCACACCCCACCCCACACCACAATTTCTTTCCTTAATTGGCTCTTCAGTTATCTTTACTGAGTGCTGGGCTGTGCCTGCATGACCTCTGTTCCTGTTTTTGGCTCACGGTTCTGGTTTCCAAGGGTTCTTCCTCAGATGTGTGCATTTTCGCATGCACCAGGTGGACCATCGCCAGATGCCAAACAAGGTCAGGCAGGCCTAACACCAGCAACCTTTCAGTGTTTTTGAGTCAGATGATGCTTGTCCATTGCAAGATCAGCAGAATCTGTAAATTTTCTTAACATTTAATAATGCCAGCACTTTGGATAGAAGATACATGTCTGCAAGAGAGAAGGAATTCCATAGTGATTTGGTATGTGTTTCTTTTAGGAACCAGGAAGTATGGGAACACATTATGATGGACCATGCTCTGATATTGGTCTGTCTCTTCTAGGCCTGTCTGACTCAGGGAATGACCTTACATAGCTACGGCATGTTGCTGCCCTGTGGGGTCGACCAGTTCCATGGCACTGAGTACGTGTGCTGCCCTCAGACAAAGATCATTGAATCTGCTGTGTCAAAAGAGGAGGAAGAGGAAGAAGAGGAAGATGAAGAAGAGGAGGAGGAGGAAGAAGACTATGACATTTATAAAAGGTGCACGCTTGTCCTGAACCTGTGAAAGTCATGGGCCCGTGGCCGTGGGCCTCCTGTCCTGATTTCTGGATGAAGTAGGGGCCGTGCTGGAGTTGAGGCAGCCTGTGCGTCATTCTAGCGGCAGCTGGTAACGAGCAGGAGTGCCTGGTGCTCAGCTCTGTATTGTTTTCTGCAGGTCAGCGTTGTCCCTAGCCACTAACTTCCCTCTGCTGATGTGGCTGGACTGGTGCTCTAGTGGCACAGTTAGCCTCGTGAGCTTATTTCCTGTCTGTTTTTGTGTTTCATACTAGGGAAGAGTGATTGTGCTTTGTGTCCAGGCTTGGTACTAACCTTCGTTTTTCACTGTGACATTTAGTGAGTTTCCTACTGAAGCAGATTTGGAAGACTTCACAGAAGCAGCTGTAGATGAGGATGATGAAGATGAGGAAGAAGGGGAGGAAGTGGTAGAAGATCGTGATTACTATTATGATACCTTTAAAGGAGATGACTACAATGAAGAGAACCCCACGGAACCCAGCAATGAGGGGGCTAATTCAGAGAAGATCACTCACGATGTTAAAGGTAACTCAGTGTAAGGCCATGATGTAGAAATCCATTTGGTACTTAAGATTGTTGAACTGCATTCCTCCCCGGTAAGTCAACAACAGAGAGGTGCTGTGCTGTGGGCTGCAGAAGTTAGGCCTGTGGATCACCGGAGTGGCAGCTCAATAACAGGTGGCTGGGCTGGTCACTGTGGGCAGGGACCAGATTGAATGAGAACACTCTCCTTTGCACCGTAAGGACTTAATTGATGAACAGGGACTAGAAAGAACACGTTCTACCCTTCAGCACAGTTATTCCACATTTGCCCCAAAATGTTCTCTTCTCACAGGAATCCCCTCTTCAATATTGCGAAAATACTGATCTTCTAGATTGGAAATAACTTCTTTTTCTGAGTGTGTTGTAATCTGTGGCCTGCCCAGTTTGTCCATTAGAAAGATGTTTGTAGCCAAGAGGGTAGAATGACTTGCTGGTAATAAGGGATCAGGGATAGCAATTTTCTCATCTTGTCAATTTTTTAAAACAGGTTGTGACAGTTCTGGAGCCATTTATAAACAGCCTCCTGCTGATTATATATTTGAGGCCAATTAAAACCCAAAGGCTAATTTAGGAACCAGGGAAAATTACTTAGTGAGTCTAGAAGTTTATGACTTACCTTGGGAAACACATATGTACCTTCATGCTTTCCAGGTGCCCCTTAGCGACCTTACTACAGAATCACCATGCGACGCCCTTTCACGTGCCCTACTTCCCTTGGTCCTGCCACACCCCCAAGGGGACCTATGAGGCGTAGATTGCCACTTAACAAAGAGGAAGTGAGTGTGGCTCTCTGAGCTGTGGGCTGTGGAATTTCTCCAACTCATACATCAATTCAGACTCAAGATAATTCAGAAACATTTTTAGCTCCAAACGTCTTTAGCACATCAGACTGGAGAATGGCTCCACTCTGAGAGGTGGCTGGCTTGCGTGGGCGAGTCAGGCCAGGGCATTTGGGTGCTTCCGGTGTTGGCCTTTGCTCATGTCCAGTGTCGCCTGGTCCTTGCTCCTCACCCCGTCCACTCTGCCAGTGTGTCATGTCGTGGAGCCTTTGAAGCTGCTGCCTCTGTCCTGCTGACATTCTGACCATTTTCACACAGCTGTCTGCTCCCAGGAGGCGATGACGGGGCCCTGCCGGGCTGTGATGCCTCGTTGGTACTTCGACCTCACCAAGGGAAAGTGCGTGCGCTTTATATATGGCGGCTGCGGAGGCAACAGGAACAATTTTGAGTCAGAGGATTATTGTATGGCTGTGTGTAAAACGATGAGTAAGTCCCGCCATGCTGGCTCTGTGCGGAGCACCGTCCTGTCCGGCGTCCTGTCTCTCCCAGCCGTCCTCGTGACCGCGTGTGTGTAGTGCTCCCCGCCGCTTCGGCTGTTTGCTGTTGGTCGTTCTCCTCCCCCATCCTTGTGCTTTCTAGATTCAGGCTGTGCTTTCCTGTTGGCAGTAGTGAGCTCAGTTTTCTGTCCTGCGCTCACTGTGGGTGTCTGGTGGTGGTGCAAGCATCTGGGGCCTGTTCTTCCTCATCTGCCCCATAGTGTCCCAGCCTCCAGGTGCTGCTGCGTGGTTAGGACTGTGCTCTGCCCTCGGCTGTGTCTCATGTGTGAGGGTGAGTGGATTAGACGTGCATTCTGCACGTGCTTGTTTCCAGGGTCTGCTCCTTGTTCTTGTCTCTGAACTACCTGGTCCTGGACATCCGCCCTGCCTCCATGATGCATGCCAACTTATGGGGACAACCTGCTCTGCAGAGAAGTGACAGGAGGGAAGCTTCCTGGCCACTAGAATATCGCAGTGTCTTGCTCTTGGCGCTCCAGGGAGAGGGCTCAGCAGCCACTGTTTCTCCAATATTCCGGCAACTCTGGATTGGACAGGATTTCAGGAAGTGAAGGCGTTTTAATTTGTGTGTTCTTTGGTTACAAAGGAAATTAGTGGTTCAGTTGAGCTGGACAGTTGTACTTAGTTAGGAAAGGTTTTGTTTTTCTCCATGGTTACCCCTCTCCATGCTTTTCTTACCTTGCAGTCCTCGCCCATGTTTAGAAAGTCCTCAGGCCAGGCATCTTCCTGGCTTTTGATTCTGGCATTTACTAGAGCAGTGAGTTGCTGCACACGTTCCTGATACTTGGTTGTAGTTTCTGATGGCTTTTCACTCAGCTCTCTCCAGTTCCCCGTTTCCTTCTGCGACCAACAGATTTCTGAACTCTCACTAGCACACATGTACTGTCAGTGCTGCCGCTGTTCTGCTGTGCTATGGAAAGGCGATTTGGGATTGAAAGGGTGAAAAATGAGCCCTTGGGGAACGTTAGTGGTAGAAACTTTTTCCCGGAAAGATGGTAAAGCTAGAAATTATTGTGGCACTACCTTCTTGGAAAACTTCTTAAAGAGCAACAAAATCCTATTTTAGGGTGAGGCCCAAAGAACCAGGAGTCCTCACCAGCTTCTCTGAATCTGCGGGTGGTGATCTTCACCCAAGGTCAGACAGGTAGTGCAATGAGACCCTGGAATAGCGGTTCTCAGATCTCCGGCAGAGGCTGCAGGATCGCAGTTTCCATTCCTGTGGCAGGGAGATGGGCCCAGGAGAAGCACCAAGTCGTGTGCTGTGCGCCCCAGGCCGAATGCTTTGAAAGCCTAGCAGCATCACTGCTTCACGGCCAAGTATGTGGCTCTCTTTGAAGGGCACTGAGGTGGCTGAGGTGTTGGCTTTGTGAGCTTATGATTTTCTCCTGGGACAGATGGAGCAGGTCTGAGCTCAAAGGGTCTTCAGCACCAAAGCTCCAGGCCTGCCATTCCTAGAGGCAGTTCGGGCTTTGTGTTACCTGTAACCATTGCAGGGATGTGGACCACAGGCTGTCTCCAGCACATAAGCCTTTAAGCTGCAGGCGTGTGTTGCTGGTGGCAAAAGGCTGCTTGGCATAGCTGGCAATGCTTTGAAATGCTCCCTCGCTGAACTTCTGGATGTGGCCTGTGAGGCTGTGTATTCTAATTTAATTTGAAAAATGGCTGTTGAGGTCCTGTTTAAACTTGTGTAGGAGCCAGATTCGCCTCACAAGGTTTTAGTTGTAGCTTTGGGATTTATTAAATAAAAGGGAATAAGTAAAAGATGCTCTTTTCAGCATACTTTGGAGTAGCTCATTAATTTATAGGTATACATAGTCTCAATTATATAGTTGTTCTAGTGTTGTATTAAAGTCATGTAATGCTAGAAATAGGGTGAATTTGCCTATGAATTAAACCTCGTTGACTTTCACCATTGTTCTCCACGCAGTGCTAGCATCATGTCTTGAGATAGCAAGTTGTGCAAGCGAGTCACAGTATCGTTTCTCCTGATCCCAGGAATCGTGAGGGAATTGGCTGAATTGAAGTTTCCGTTAGTGTTCCTTGAGAGGCTGACTAAGTAAACTTGTCACCTCCATCCTTTGCCGTGCAAAGTTACACTCCAGGGCACAGATGAAATTCTCTTTCCTCATGCCGGTGAGGACATCTGCTCAGCTGGCAGTGAGGCCTGTCTGTTCCAGTGGGTGGTTCTCTGGGTGATGACCTGCGAGAACAATGAATGTCATGGGTTGAAAAGCCCAGATACCTTCACACTCAGTGCTGAGTCCTTGTTGCATACAGAGCTTTGTCCTTGTCACACACAGCAACTTGGTCTCACCCTTGTTGGGGCATGAGGGGGGATCCATCAGTGGTACTGAAAACTAGAATAATGTAGCTGGAGTGCCTTGGACTTTCCCTCCCCAGTCCATATGAAACTAATTTGGTAGGACCTAAAAATAACTAGAAAGGAGGAGACCTGAACACTAAATAAAATTTCTTTCAAAATGGAAAATCTTTGCAAATGCCTCTACTGGCCTGACTTCACCTCATCTCTGGTCATATGTCATCAGTGACAGCATCAGGTAGTTTTTTTTTTTTCTTTCAGGTTTTGAGATCAGAGGGAAAGTCTAGAAGTGGCTTCCCTTTCTGCCCTTCAGTCCTGGGTAGATGTTCTCTGCCGCAGATACCAGGGGCCTGGACTGGGCTGGTGGGTTAATGTTGTGTGGACACTGGGAGCTACCAGAACAGTGTTGACAGACCGGAGCACCCAGTACTGTTTGCATGGAACAAGACAATCGGGTCCGGTTGCAGGTCCTGAGCCTGGTCTCTTCCTAGAGCACAGTGCAGCCTTGGCATTGGGCCTGACCCATACAGAACGCCCTCTGTCATTTTGTTCTAGTCCCCCCCACTCCTCTGCCAACCAATGACGTGGATGTGTACTTCGAGACCTCGGCGGATGATAATGAGCACGCTCGCTTTCAGAAGGCTAAGGAGCAGCTGGAGATTCGGCACCGCAACCGGATGGACAGGGTAAGTCTCGGGATTCCCTCTCCAAAACCCACGATGTTTGGCCTGGGTAACAGAGTTGAAGCAAAGGAGCACCGTCTCCCTAGCTGGCCATGCTATTAGAACCGTGAGATGTGAGAGTGTATGCAGAGAGGCCTCCTTTGTCCTTCATCTCCATGATGCCCTCTGAGTGCTTATCAAGTTCTAGATACTTGAGTACTTCCTATAACTATTATGTTCTTGGGTTTAGGTTTTATTTTTTGGCCATTAACTAGCTTTTAATTTTTTTAAGGAAGGAAACTACATATTACTGTTATGAGTAGAAAGCTAGTGTCATTTGCTGTTAGAACAAGATAACTGTAAAATACAGCAGATAGAAATCAAACCTGTGTGAAATCATGGAGGGTCAGAGGCCCAGGGAGCTTTTCTTCTCCTTAAAAGGGTCCTAGGTGTTAGAACAGTGTGAGCACCAAAATGCAGCTTCCTCCAAGACCTGCTCAGAGGAGCAAAAGAAAATTGAAAAGGGAATCTCTTGCTGGTTAAGAGCCGCCTAAATCCCACACACTACCTTTGTTGGCCTTCCATGGGGAGTGGGGGGGAAGCTCATTGTTGCATTGACCTGTTCTTAGAAGGGGGGCCGTGAGGTGAACATGACTATTTTTAAATGACTTGCCCATGGTTCGATAACAAGGTCCTCTGTGGGGTTGAGGCTCCCTCTGGGGGATGGTTGAAGCCTATGACCTTCTGCGGCAATAGTTCTGCTGACACACAGAACTGTTTGAGTTCCTGAGGGGTTGTGGTGCTATTTCTTTGCAGTTTCCTGCCTCATTTCAGGCCCTGGCAGTAATGTTTAGAAAATGGGGAAGTTGTTTCAGAGATTATTCCAACTAGAGTGGTTTTGACCTTTGTTCTAGGTAAAGAAGGAATGGGAAGAAGCTGAGCTTCAAGCAAAGAACCTCCCCAAAGCAGAGCGGCAGACACTCATTCAGGTGCGGCCCGCTCCAGGGCAGAACTCTGAGCCTGACTGTCCAAAAGGTGGTCAGAGTCAAGCTCCCAGGAAATTAAAGTTTGGCATGTTCTTTTTAGTTGAGAACCTATGTGACAGAAGTGTTTTAACTGGCCTACTTCTTCTTTTTTTCTTTTTTTTTAAGACCCCCCGCCCCACACTGGGTTTCTGTAGAATTGCTCACGTATGGTAGAAGAAAAACAGACCCTCCCCCACCAACCAGAGTGTGCCTAAGTCATGCCAAGAAGTAACCTTAGCTCAGCTGCATTTGTTAATTCTGTTCTCTTGGCAAAAGTCCTCAGTCCTCTTCATTCTTAGACTATGACTTGTTTATCAGCAATACTGAAATTTTTTTTTTGTTGGCAGACTTATTAAAAGTCAAAAGGCAGAAAATAAATCTCTCTGAAACCAGTTCATTCTAACCTTGTAGGAATGTGACCTTGGAATCCTAGTAGTCACTGCATTTCCCTTGGAATAGGAGTAGTGAGCAGTTTTTACAAGACTGATTTGGGTCTTATGTCCTCTAGATAAGGAAGCAAAAATTTCTCTAGATGATCCACTCTGAACCAGCACTGGGCTTGCATCAGGCAAGGAGAAAAGCAACATCGGGCTCTTAAGCTGTTAGCTTAGACCTCCTCCAGGTGCTGTGAGTGACAAGTCGTTCCTCCTCCTTGGTGTAGCACTTCCAGGCTATGGTTAAAGCTTTAGAGAAGGAGGCAGCCAGTGAGAAGCAGCAGCTGGTAGAAACCCACCTGGCTCGAGTAGAAGCAATGCTGAATGACCGCCGCCGCGTGGCCCTGGAGAACTACCTGGCTGCCTTGCAGTCTGATCCTCCACGGGTGAGTGTGCAGAATCTACATAGACTGTATCCTTTATTGTGGAGAGGACTGACAGATGATGCGCAGGCCAGTATAACTTAAAACAGGTATTCTGTCCGGATTTCTGCTTATGCAAGCTGAGTAGTGCACTGCAGATGCGAGCCTGCTGATGCCACCTGTGAAGTGAAAGTATTTTACACTAGTAAAACATAACCTTGGCTTATTAGTTAGCAGTTACCCAATTATCAGATTTTCTATAGTAGCCTTACTTGGAGAGAAAAAAAGATATGTCTTCCATGGACAAAGGCTTTTGAGCCAGCCCTAGTCTAATTAAGATTATGAGCAAAGGCTTGGTAATTTGCACTTGAAATACATTTGTGTAGTGATCCCAAACTTTCTTATCCCTTAACTCAACCTGCCTTGCTGTGGGAGATGGAAAGTTTTAGAAGGGAGGGTGTTTGTACCCTTCATAAGTCTTTTCTGATTGACAGGGACTAGCCAGCATGTAATTAAGGTGTCAGGCTGAGCTTAGGGAAAAAAAAAACACTTCAGAAGAGGACAGTGGCTTAGACATTCTGGAAAACACTGTGAAGGAGCCAATATAACCTTGGACTTGGCTTTTGGTACTTAGATAGGTTCTAAGCTACGTAAGTCAGCTAAAAGCTTTTAAAAGTACAGCTTTCATTCTTCTGCCTCACTTAACTTTACATTTTTCGGTGAAATTTTGAAGTTTCTGTCTTTTCCATTCTCTTGTCTCTGGATTGTAAAACAGCTGTTCTCACTTGCAGCCTCATCGCATCCTCCAGGCCTTGAGGCGTTATGTCCGTGCTGAGAACAAAGACCGCTTGCATACCATCCGTCATTACCAGCATGTGTTGGCTGTCGACCCAGAGAAAGCAGCCCAGATGAAACCCCAGGTACACAAGACCTAGCAGAGGTGGCTCCGGCACCGTGATTCTAGATTCTAGCTGGGAGAGGCTGCTCAGGCCCCATGGCTGCTCAGAACTGACAGTTGTGCGCGTTCTTGACCATAAGATGTGCTTTTTGGTTTCCAGAGACATCAGGTACAAGAGTTGGTTTTTGCAAAGGTAGTATCTTAAAAACATCTTTTCCAAGCTTTTTTTCTATTAAGTGCTTTTTACTTAGTTTTTGAAAGCTTAGGAATGTATGATTATATTGAAAGGTCATTTCTTAATATCCATTTATTTCTAATTGAGGGTACCACCAGCAGGTGCATGGTGAAAGCTTTTTCTAGGCAGATGCATCAAGCAGATCTTAAAATCTTGTTTCATGCATCATGATCTCTGTTTCATTTTCTTGGGTTTTATCCCAGGCTGGTTTCACCTTTACCCATCGAGGATTGTTTATTGAGTCTGTCCATATATTAACTGGAGTTTGACTTTCTTGCAGTCATAGAAAATGAACTTGCAGACCCTCTCTGGTGGCGCAAAGGAGTTGCAGCGCAGCACTATGAAACTATCCACAGCCACTGCAGCATGAGTTCAGTCTCTGGCCAGGGAGGTGACCCACATGGCATGGCAGACCTCTCTCACCTGCTTATCTCCTCAGCAGTGTATTTCAGTAGCTCTGCCTGTTCTGCTTCCCACTCTGTCTCTGGTGAATCCTCTCACCCCTTGCACCTCTGGCCTGTACCCCAGTTCTTACATGCATATATAAATAAATCTTTAAAAATAATGAACTTGCCTGCAAGACTGCTGGCTTCCTTTTATTTCTTTCTTTAAAGATTTATTTATATATGCATACAAGAACTGAGGTTTAGGAAAGAGGTGCAGGGAGTGAGAGGATTCACCAGAGACAGTTGTGAACAGAACAGGTGAATTGACTGAAATGTACTATAGAGGGAAACAGAAACAGTAGGCAAGACTGGGAAGGTCTGTCACACCAAGTGGGTCACCTCCCTGGCCGGAGATCGAACATTGTCATACACCCTTGCACCACTAGGGAGGGCCTGCAACATGATTAAAAAAAAAAAAAATTTTTTTTTTTAGGCATACAAGAACTGGGGTGCAGGCCAAAGATGCAGGGAGTGAGAGGATTTACCAGAGACAGCGTAAGAAACAGAATGATTGACTGAAATACACTGCTGAGGGGAACCACCCTGGCAGTGCTAGAACTCCCACTTCAGTGGCTGCGGAGAGCTTCATAGTGCTGCACTTTAACCCCTTGCGCCACCAGGGAATACCCTTGATTTTTTTTTAAATGTAATCTTTTTTTTTTTATTACGAAAGTTTATTTTTACATCATTTTGTACATTTTTTTTCCATCTCAATTGTAATCCCCGCGGGTTTCCCATCACCAAGTCACCCATGTGCCATCACCATAATCCCGTGCATTTCCCTCCCCCCACCCCGTAAATGTAATCTTTTTTTAATGTGAAGTATTTTACAGAAAAATAACTTTTTTTGTGTGTGGTGAGAGCATAAGGAACAGAGAAACTTTGTTCAGTATATTAACAACTTTGATCCTGCAGGCAAGATCAACATGTTATTCCATCTAACACAGGAACTAGAACATTTCAAATCTTAAAAATCTCAGGGAAAAACAAGGTCTGCTGTGTGTTACCGGTTGTCTACTTTAAGCCTTCAATTCTCATCAACCTTTGCTGCTGAGATACACAAAGCTTTTTCATGGTCTACATTCTGTTATTAAACTGTAGAAAAGCCCGAATGTGTTCAGCACATTTTGTTTTGGGTGTGTGTATTTCCTTACTCATATGGAAGCACAAGGATTTACTCTAAGGAGGCTAATACCAGTATTACACCCTGTGGGCAGGTGACTCCTTAATTTGTCCAAAGAAATAGTGACCAAGACCTGACAAGATTGCAGATGCTACATTGCAATAATTTATTTGCATTTTTTTACTCTAAGGCAGAGCTCAGCTTTGTGTTTTCCCATCAACTTACTTGATTGAAATAATAGAAAATATAAAATTAAATGGCTTTCATCTTTGCTTCTAAATAAATGGTCAAGAGACATCAGTCTACAATCAAATCATCTTGAACTTAGTTCTCCATTTTGACCCTTTATGTTAATGGCGTCAAGCCCACATACTTAATCTGTTACCTTAGAGTGCCCTCTCTAGGAAGAGCTCTATAACTGCAGATGTAACTGGCTAGGGTTAGTTACCACCCCAACAGCTTAGGAGGATGAACTGTACTGGGATGGGTGGTAGCTCGAATCACCTTTCATTTCTTCCCCAGAGCTTTAACATAATTGTTCAATTTTAATGGCTGCCTGTTTCTTTCTTTGGATAAATAACCCTGGAGCTTTTACATTAAATAAGTAGTGAGTTACAGAAAACAACAGATCAGTCTGTCTTTATCACCCCTTAATATCAGGGTTCTTTATATCTCAGCATAAATCTTTGAAAGAATAGCTAATTTAAATAGGAACAAACTAGTTCTGTTATTGTGATTATCATCTTGAGCAGTTACTTCAAGCAAAATGCATGAATCCCTTTTCCTTTGAGTCAACTCTTGAGCCAGTGATTTCATTCTCTCTCTCGCTCTTTTTTTTTTTTAACCCCATCTAACCTGTGGTGAAATTGGCTAGTGGAGGTTTTAACTTTGTTTTCACCTGGAACTTTCCCTGTGGATAAATACCATGGTCACCATGGGGTATTACACTCAGCCTGAATATGCGCTTATACTATAGTGCCTGACTACGGTGCGGGGGTTCATTGGTGGCTCCAGTCAGCTGCTGTGCTGGACTCCTTTACAGACCTGTGCCTCCCCCTGCAGTAATCTGTCTTTTGATGACAGCCTTGCCACCATACTGTACTTCCAGGTGATGACTCACCTCCATGTGATTGAGGAAAGGAGGAACCAAAGCCTCTCTCTGCTCTACAAAGTACCTTACGTGGCTCAAGAAATCCAGGAGGAAATTGGTGGGTGTTTGTGTGGAGTTCAGGGGGTACTGCTTCCTGAGGCCCAGCAGGGATGGGAGTAAAAATTGGGGGCAAGCAAGGCCATCAAACTGGCATTAGTCTGCCATGTTCCGAAGTCCGGAATTCTCTGGAGTCCGCATGGTACTGTCAAGGAGTAACTGAGGACAGATGTATGGCTCTGAGCCACTGAGCCTTGGGTTTCATTGACCTTCACTCTGTTACCGGAAATAAAATCTAGGGTGTGAAATTGCAAGAGACTTGGGGGAATTTCCTGTGATCTTCTGTGTGTCAGCAAGTAAGATGGTAGACAGCAGTATCTCCTGACGCATTCTGTATGGGAGAAAAGCAATAAATCAAGCAAACAAGTGACGGTAGTGAAGAGTGCTGTCTGGAGGCACTGGGGTAACGGGAGGTGGTCTCAGGGACACTGGGGAGAAGGAGCTGTCCTTCCACAGACTGAGTGGGGGAAAGGCATTGTTAGCAGAGCAAGTGACTGCCGCAGAGGCCCCACGTTTCTGTCATGTGGCACATTTGAGTCGATCGCTGTGTCTAGAACATAGTGAGAGTGGAATAGGCCAAAGAAATAGGCAGAAGTCAATGTTAACCAATTTTTTGAGATTTGAGTTTTTTTCCAGGAGAGTGGAAAGTTTAAAACTAGGGAGTCACTGCCTCTAGTTTATGCTTTTAAAAAGGATGTGAATAAAAATCTTACTTGAATGCTGTGTAGAGAATTAATTAAAATCGAAACCACCAGGAAGTGATTGTAGAAATCCAAAAGAGAAAAGGATTGCTGGATTGGGCTCTAAGATGGTGATACAGGAGGAGTGGGTGGTCCTGGGGGGGGTGCCCAGGATATGCTGATGGTTGCATGAGGGAGAGGAGAGAACAAAAGCATCAAGGTATAGAGCACCCACTGTGAGCACCTTAGTGAGTGGAGCTGCCCAAGCTGACTGAGATAAAGAATTCTCTTTATCTGTGTTAAAGTGGAAAGTACTGTTGGACTTGAAGTGGGTTGTAAGGTAACCTATTAGAGGAGCCAGAGCAGTAGGTACAAGATGTAGCTTTGGGATGCATGACATATGGGTGGGGTGTAAAACTATGCCATTGGTGAAGTCACTTAACCAGAGGGCACTTAACCAGAGGGTGTTGTTGAAAAGGGGAGTAGCCAGGATGGAGCCCCAGGGTTCCCAGTGCTCGGTTTCTGCTGTGCAACAGATTCCTTAGCATCAGGAGGGAGGTACTTTGGGTAGGAAGGAGGGTGTGGTCAAGGCTGTTGGCCCTGAGCCGAGAAACTTGGTGTCTCTGAGAACCTGATGCCTTCCTGTCTCTCAATCAGATGAACTGCTTCAAGAACAACGTGCAGACATGGACCAGTTCACCGCCTCCATCTCAGAGACCCCTGTGGACGTCCGGGTGAGCTCGGAAGAGAGTGATGAGATCCCGCCATTCCACCCCTTCCACCCCTTCCCATCCTTACCTGAAAACGAAGGTGTGTATGATAGACCCCACAGTTTCTTGGGGGTGGGAAGCACAATTAAGATTGAAGTCAAATTTGTGACCTGATTTGTATTGGAGGCTGTGTTCTGGTGGCTGTTGGGCATGGAAAGGAAGGCTGGATTCCCTGGGCCTAGACACCTGTTCTGTGCAGGCACCGTGCTGGGTGCTTACAGAGTCATTGATGTGTCTCCCATTTTACAGGCAACTTGTTTAAAACCCACTGTTTTTCTGGTCCCATCAGCTGTGTGTGATGCTTACATATGGAAATCACTTTGCACTTTCATGTTATCTAGTGCCATTTTCCTTCCATAATAATCCTGGGAGTGGGTGATGGGGAGGCTGGACAGGGGTGTAACCTGTCATGTTCACCACCTCTGGTGGTATTAGGTGGCTGAGATGTACTATCCCTCACTCCGAGTGGGGCCTGCTCCTTCTATCCCCTTGCTGGTTCTTGATGGCTACAAGAATCTCTAAAAGCTGTGACTCTGCACCAGAAATAAACAAGCTGCTCAGACTGCTGCCCTGAGACCAGGGTGTGGAATCAGACCCTATTTATTTGTCTACTGCTGATGGTGGTGGTGATAAAAATAGTGGTCAGTGCTAGAGTCATTATTAGTAAGCACTGGACACAGACATTTGTTTAATCTCTGTAAGGTATTGGGGCTGTCCTCATGTCCTCATGCCAAAATTTAAAGAGGTTAAGTATCTGCCTGGGCCATGCGACTTGTCAGTGGAAACTCAGGATTTGAACCCAAATGTGCTACAGTCCTGCAGCCTTGAGTATGGTCTTTGACCTCTTGAGCAGATAGAGGGGTTGGGAGGGAGGAGGAAGCACCGAATGTGAAGGACAAACAGAAATGTCTTCTAAACTAGTCATGTGAGGCCTACCAGCTCAGTATAGTTGACCCTCCAGTAGTGAAACCAAGTCTGACAGAGTCGGGTAAAGAGAGCTACCACTGCATTCCTAAAACCTGCTCAAACCCTCTGCGGGCTAAAGGGCAGCCATGTTTACACTGTTGGTTGTGGGGAGCATCTCCGATACATCTGAACTGCGACCTGCTCTCCTTAACAGAAAACCACAATCAATACTTCTATTTTTGAAGAAAAATAGCTTTGTGCATTAAGCTAAGTAATTTGGGAATTCCCACAATTTCCCCTTAAAAGACCCTACATAAATCCCCTTCTTTTCAACAGTCTAGTCACTTGCTGGTTTGTTGATAAGATATTTGAACCATGGTTTTTAATTCACATTACAAAGAAATTCTACGGAATTTTGAAAGAAGCTGTTTTCTTCCTTAATCTCCTTCTGTGCTATTTTGTTTTTATTGTTTTCCTTTCTGCTAGACACTCAGCCGGAGTTGTATCATCCAATGAAAAAAGGTTGGTTTGTCAAAGATGTTCCCCTTGAGACCTTCATTCCTTTTCACCTCCCCAGTGTGTCAGCTCTTTCATTTTCTGTTTCATATCACCTGGCTTTTTCCCACCTCATTTTTGCAGACGTGGCTGTGAACAGAGCCAGCGTCTCCAGCACCTAGGACCCAGTGTCAGTGGTATTGGTGACAATGGTCCATCCTCAGCTTCCCTGCAGGATGTCCAGACAATACTGAGTGGCCAGAGTAGGCCTTTTGCATTGCTGGGATAGTGGTGAGCACAGCTGCCGTCTAAAATAGATCTTTTCATAAAAGCCTTTTAAATTTGAGAAATATTCAATGTATATTCAATTGAGGGGGTTTGTTACAGGTGGCCTGGTATATAAAAAGAAAAACTTTTTTTAATAGTTTAATTTATGGTCAGGTGGAGAGTTGTTTTCCTTTTCTGCTGCTCCCACTTACATCTTTTCCCTTTTCAGCTGTTCTTTATCTGTGTCCAACTGCCCATCTCCTGAGTTTTAGCATGCCTCAGAACAGAAAGAAGCTGACGGGTGCAGCCGGTCAGGCGAGTGAGCTCTTGTTGTAGTGAGTCTCTGGGTTTCTGAAGAAGGTTCATTGTGTGCTTGGTCTCATTGAATCCACAGAGCGCACTGTCAGGACGACTTGTTATTCTTTCTTGGACTAAAGTTTGCTCAAAGTCATGAGTTTAAGAAGTGAAGGAACCAGAAGTTGACCCCAGCTCCCTCTATGTTCAAAGCCCAAGCGTTTTCTGTCAGTTGAGAAGCCATAGTCGGCTGATGCCTGTTCCCCCTGTATTGGTGCCTCACAACCCCTAGTGTCACCCTCAACTCAGGGGTGCCATGTCTTCAGTGTCTTATGAGCCTGCTCTTCTGACTTTGCCCAACTACATGTGAATGGGCCTTGTGGGGTTCCCTGGCCAAGATTTGGTATTTGTTTTATATCACACACAGTTTTTTCCTAGAACATGAGTGTCATTTGAATCTCGCAGACATCACTTACACATAAATGTTTTATTTTGTTCTACTCACATAGGCCTCTTACTGGAGAGCACTAAGCATTCTTCTGAACAGCACAGATATTTATAAAGAAAGATGAGTTTTTTATTATTTTTAAAAGATTTATTTATGCATGCATGCAGATTGCAGGCCACAAGTGAGGGAGAGTGAGAGGATTCACCAGAGAGAGTGGGGAGCAAAACAGGTCAACTGACTGAAATACCTTGCTAAGGGGGGCAGTGGGCGAAACAGGGGAGGTCTGCTGTGCCATGTGGGTAGCTCCCTGGCCAGGGATTGCACTCAGGCCACAGTAGCTGGAGCTAGCTTGAGAGTACTGAGACTTCAACAACCCTGTGCCTCCACAGCAGCCTAAAGATGAAATTTTTAGAAGCTTAACTAACTTGTGCCTTCACACTTCTACTATTATGAATAGGGAAAATTTAAACATTAACTTCAGCCTCATGAAGTCACTTGTTTATGCTTTCCATAAAACCAAAGTGGTTTTGGTTAATGTTTAACATCAGTTTTACCATGTATTGGTAAGGCTTCAAATTAGTTGGTGCCCCCATTGCCTTTAGGATCTTTAAAGTTCTGTGGAAAGAGATGGGTACTAGGGTTTATTGGGCATGAATATGAGCATCGCCAAACATCTGTTCTCCAGGTTCCTCTCTCAAAGAGCTGATATGCAGAATTGCTGTTTCGCTGGCATTTTGAAGCTACAAAAGCCAGCTCTACTTACCCTAGAGACAAATTGTGAAATTCATGGTGCTTTACAGTGAAGCTTTGGGGGAAGCTGTGCCATTTGGGGCTGCATGCTAATGAGCTAGTGCACCCACAGCTGCAATGGCTGTAGTATATTGCTCAGTGTCAAGGGCAAGTCCAGCTGTAAGCTGGGAAGCTTTACTGTGACTAGGCCTAATGTCTTCTGCCTTTAACAAGCCTGGGGACAGTGATGCTTGGCCGAGACTCTGGGAACCCAGCCCGTTTGCAGGTAGTCAAACAGAGGTCCAGATCACGGTTGTGTGTTTGTATGGAGTGGTATATGATATAGTCAATGAGAAGCTCTTCAGACTCTTAGAACTCACATGCTCTGGAGCTAAAAATAAAGAGCATTGCATCTTCTTCCTCTTCTTGGATTTGTGCTGACTTACAGCCACACTGTCTTGGCCACACTGTTTGTGTTCCACTCACAAGTGACGTTGGCTCAGGTGATCCCTGACCTGGATTAGCGGTATACTGCTATGTTTTCTGGCTTACTCTACAGAAAGATTCCTCCCAACCTGCTGTTAAAATTCCCCATTTATAGTCTGCTTCTTTCCTAGTAACCATTGAGGTTGTGATCATCTGATGCAGGTCCTGGGAGGGTTACAGTCTGGGAGACAGGAGAAGTAATTATAAAGCAGTGATTTTTAACCTGGGTGTCTTCCAGGCAGAGCTGCAACTTGAAGGACAAATAGCAAGGGCTTGAGGTCAGGGAGGGTCGTTCAGGCAAAAGACTCGCCTGTGGATGGTGCTCAAGGTAGACAAGCAGATAGACTGTGTGTGCAGAACTACCTGTGATAGCTTTTTCCTTCAGAGGGAGCCTGGGGTGTGGGAGGGGAAGCAGTGTGGTAATAGGGCTGGGTGACGGCCCAGAAGGTGCGCCCTGTGTTTCCTGTTCAAACGCCTTTGGACACAGCTTCCACTTACCTTAACAATAAGCATTGTCTTCTGAAGGTTTACATTCCATTTTCCCCAGTTGGATACAAGTAAGTCCTCTGTCCTCCTCCATTACACCCATTGGTCTCCGAGAAATGCCTGCATCATTCATCCTTGTAGAACAAGATGCATCCTCAAAAATGCAAACAAAGCAGTACACCGATGTGTGTGGAAGGGGCCGGGGTGGTGGACCATGGGCAGTGTTACCCGAGGCTCCCTGCCTCTCAGGAGGGCATTTGTGGCTTCTGTGAGACTGTGAGCCAGTCCATCCTGGGAAACTCAGCTGTGCTTTCTCCACACAGGCTCTGGTGCAGGAGAACAGGATGGAGAACTGATAGGTGCTGAAGAGAAAGTGATCAACAGCAAGAATAAAGTGGATGAAAATATGGTGAGCCATTTCTCTCTCCTGTTTCAACTTGGAGAACGGTTGAGAAAGTGGCCTCATTGCAGATGCCCCATGAGCCTTTGTGTGTCTGCACCCCATGTGGGAGCATATGGGTGGCCCCAGTCCTCTGGAGGCTTGCTGTGCTGCTTACCTTCTGGGTGTGCACCAGAATGAGGAGCCATTTTCAGCAGTAACTCCTCTCGTTAACCAGTAGGAAAAGCATTTGCAACTAAAGATAGGAATAAGATACAAGAGACCGTTTATATTGAGTAGAGAATAACTGAAAATGGAATAGAACTCAGTGTGGTTTTTATACTATCTTAGGTTTATCCCTCCTGTTAATTATCCTGGTAGGGCTTTCTATTCGTATTTCTCAGTCATCCTTGACTGCTTTGGTGTTTAAGTGGGGCTTCCTGGCAATCTGTCCTGAGATGGCTCCCCAGGGGTGAGATACAGGCAAATGCTGCTGGAAGCCCTCAAAGGACCAGTGGCTCTCAGTCATGTTGCCTCCATGTCGGCTTGGCAGGCACAGGTCGCTGGCCGGCTAGTGGGGGTCCATGGGCACCTGCTTCCTTCACCCCCTGGCAAACAGGAAAGGAAAGCACTGACTCTGTTTGTAGCAAGGCTTCCTTCCACCCCCTTGTTGACATTTTCATGCTCTTTCAGGTCATCGATGAGACTCTGGATGTTAAGGAAATGATTTTCAATGCTGAGAGAGTGGGAGGCCTTGAGGAGGAGCCGGTGAGTGGCTGTGGACCTGTCGGGCTGCACGTCCACGTCAGCTCTTTTGCTTTCCAGTCTTCTCAGTTCAGATAGGAGAAGCGCGTGGTGGCCAGTGTCTTAAAGGCCCCTTCTCCCCATTTGCCCATAGTTTTGGATAAAAGCTCAACTTAGACTCTCGATGGAGAGTGCAAAAGAGTGAGAGTTCTCCCACATACCCAGCATACTGGGAAGCAGGACCCTGGTACCCTCTGGGTTTAGAGAACACGGAGGCGGCTGCACCTACAGAGCTGCTTGTGTTGGGGCTGCAGGCTTCACTCTAGGCACGTGGCCCTTGGGGCTTAGTTACACATCTGCCTGGTCATTTTAGGAATCAGCAAGGCCACTTCGGGAGGACTTCAGTCTGAGCAGCAGCGCCCTCATTGGTCTGCTGGTCATTGCAGTGGCCATCGCCACAGTCATTGTCATCAGCCTGGTGATGCTAAGGAAGAGACAGTATGGAACCATCAGCCACGGGATCGTGGAGGTGAGTGGCTGGGCTTCCTTCCGAGTCGGCGCTGAGTGAAGAGGGCAGCTCTGCACTGTGGGAGTTTTATGAAAACCAGACTTGGGTACTGTACAGCAACTCAGTTTCCCACTGGACGATTAGTTTTGGAAGTTGGCCCCAGCCGAACCACGCTGTTCCTGTCAAAGGACCAGCATTCATTTGGGTGTTGTGAATGTGAGGAAGTCATAAGAGCTTGTTGGACTGCAGAGGGTGAAATGGTTTTCTCAGATTATTTCCTTTTCTCAGATGTGTTAGATATTTGAGAATAAAGGACAGCAAATGCCTTTTTTTTTATAACAGTTTATTTTTACATCATTTTGTACATTTTTTTTTCCATCTCAGTTGTAATCCCCGTGTGTTTCCCATCACCAAGTCACCCATGTGCCATCACCATAATCGTGTGCACTTCCCTCCCCACCCCCC